CTGACTTACAGAATTCTAAAACATTCCTCACAAGTCACGACATCCTCAATTAACCACCAACCCGAAACGTCACTTATCTTTCAGACGAGTATTTACACTGATATACCTACCTCGCACCTACCTCGCAGTCACGCATCAATTGGCTTATCCTCAAACTAACACAATCCAAACTACACGAGTCGAAATCAATACGCATTTACAGATTCACACCCAGCTTCGCAAGCAGTCTGATGATCCATCGACGCCAGCTACAGTCTTAATGACGGCCTCAAGACACTAAATCAGTTGTGGGATCAATCAGTTACACGGTCTCAATTTTGAATCACTCAGTCTCTATTACCCAGTCACAGGCAGGCACAGTTTCACCCTCAGCTCAGCTCTTCCCAGACAGACGCGGGCAACTGTCGCGGCTCCCTCCGTACCCAAACTGTCCTACATTCACTCGCAGTTCACTCACAGTGACTAGGTTATCGCGCTCACCGTCGGCACCAAACCACGGACGGGACCCGAGCGCCCTCTCCTGCACATGGTAACTTTGCGTGGTCGCAGCATGGCATCAAACCGGCAGGAGACTGGACATAAACCACCGTTAATATTTCGTGAGCTGCCTTCGTTCACCGGTCTTGGTTCCACCGTACTGTACCGGTTACAATTATGCACCGATTGATCTTATACACGCCTTTCACCAGCGTTGATCTTTGAGCTCCATTCTATGTAGTCCGATAGTGACGAGAGTTGGCACCGGAGTCGACACCGACGAGAAAGAGACTGTTATCCGCCTATCCCACCGGGGCCAATACAAAACTCCAGCATTTTCATCCGACGGTAAAGTACAGAAGAGGTACACTGATCATGATCGCACCGATCACAAACGGCCTGAAACGGACGGCACGCGAGGTCAGGTCAGGCCAATTCAAATCGAAAGGGCACGTCAAGATCGGATCACAATATTGCAGTGCCGTTGTGTTAGCAAAAGCGACTCCAAATATTTAGCCAGAAAACCAGCCTGATGCATTACTGAACCAATTATCTGGTGAATTTTGCCTCAAGAAACACGACTGCTTAATAAAGAGCATGTACTACGATAAAGTATACTTTGGATGCTTGAAAACTAATAAGAAGTAATAGCATCATGCACAAATTTAGTGAAACGAGTGAAGAAATCATAAACTAGCTATAACTAGCTATGATAGGCCTACAGCTTAGTTAGCTTACGAGCATGACTCAGACATAAGCATCGATATTAGTATCGGCGCTGTCAGGTCATAAGTAGTTAGATATTAGGTCAGCATCATAGCATTCATAGAAAGTGGAAGAATGTATGCATATGGTAGAGAAATAGATGAACTTACCAAGTCGCATGCTAGTTCCGCAGTGTGGAAGCCACATCAGTTGTGGAAGTAGGGTAGTTGGGAAGAAAAGTACAGAAAGATAAGTCGCAATTGCAGACAAATCGGTCTGACTTATCGTTCCAAGATAATCAAGCATGCTGAAGCTGAACTAACGTCACATGTCAGAGCTTTATAACAAGTATCACGACTTAAAACACGGTTTATTTGCACGTTCACACGACCCCATCGTAACCACTGCACCCAAAGGTACTTATTGAACACCATACGTCACATTGCTGCGGTAATCTCCGTCCGCAATCACTCTGAACACGCTGCGATCACGGTAACCATGGCAACGGCGTACAGACGCCGACCGGCGACTCGGAGAGATGACGTCACGCAGACCGCAAACCGACCTCCCTCTGAGCAAGGACACATTATGAACGGTCTATATGGTATCCATAATAAAATATTAACCCCTATGTGATGATTAACAGACGAGTCACGACTCCCACACTACCAATCTGGTACAGCGTTGCTATGTGGACACAATGTGATATCTCTGATGATGAGAGCAGCTATAAATTCTATGGTTTATAGCGCCAGTACACACAATGTCACTTCTTCAAATATTGAATCGGTAAAGACCGCTTACGTTCATCGTCATTCATGCAGTATATGGTCATTCATTTCGCATGCATCTTCATCACAACGCTAAAAGACATACCAAAAGGCGAGGAAAAATATGTGTCATTAATGTCTTAAATTAGGTCAGCTTTGTGTCGCAAGAAATAGGTAGAGAATAGAAGTGTGAGAAGAAAGGTCGATAAATGAACAGAGTGAGAAGTTTGCCGGCTGGCCGGCAGAGGCGCCACCATCTGTCAGTAGGTGGCGCCACTATCCGACCCAGCTGCGCAGGTGGCGCCAGCCGGCGTGCATCGGGTACATGAAGAAATCGTACGTCATGCCCAGGTAGTCGCCCATCCGGGCCATCCAGCCGGCGCGGCTCTGCGCCTTCTCAAACTGCTTCTCCAACCGTTTGCAGGTGAACTGAAAAAAGGCACGGGTTTATGGTCAGACTCGCAGAGCAAAAACTCGGGAGCCGTCCAATGAGTTGGATCCAGGATCAAGCATCTCGATAAGATGCCGATGACAACACGAGCGTTACATAAGTAAAAAAAAAAAGCTAAAAGGAACACATTAAATAAAACTTTGAAGGTTGCCAATGAAGAGGAATCTCAGCGGTATAAAGCGGCTCCTCTCGCTCCTGGCAGCGCATCACGTCAAATCAGCCCAGGAAGCTGAGCCGAGCGATATCACTGATGGTGCTTACCTGTCTGGCGTTGGATCGGCCCGATACGATGTCACACAGCAGCCGCTTCTTACACTCGGCGTCACACTTGGGCCGCACCGGCGACGCCTTCATGTAAAACCTGCGACAAAACCACGATGTAATGTCAAAACACATATCGGAGACGCTGAATTGGAGCTATGATCCAAATGCATATAATAAAATGTAAAGCCCAAAAAGGTTCAATGCATAGAATGCCCAAGTCATGCCTAGTCAATTTAACTAAAAAGCGTCATTTAACCTAGTTAAGTCACAAACCCAGCCAGGACCACCCAAACGCCCTTCCCCTCCTCTCGCTCTCGCTCTCTCGCTCTCTCGCTCTCTCGCTCTCTCTCTCTCTCTCGCTCTCTCTCTCTCTCTCTCTCTCTCCTCTCTCTCTCTCTCTCTCTCTCTCTCTCTCTCTCTCTCTCTCTCTCTCTCTCTCTCTCTCTCTCTCTCTCTCTCTCTCTCTCTCTCTCTCTCTCTCTCTCTCTCTCTCTCCCCCGCCTGCCTTCCTCCCACTACTCTCACCGGTAGTACTTCTGGAAGAGCCGCTCGTCGAGCGCCATCCGGTGGACCAGCCGGTCCCACTCGTGCGGCGCCAGGCTGGCCATGCCGAACGCCTTGCGCGCCGAGTACAGCCGGTACCAGTGCGGCCGACCGAACCGGTTGGCCTTGTCCAGGTCCATCACCCATGTCTCGTGGTCCACCACCATCTGGTGGTGACCGCAGGAAACTTCGGTCAAGGTCAGACGGTAGGGGTATGGTGGAGGGTAGGAGGGGATACCGGGGAGGGTTGTTGAGCAAACTGTTTTGAAGCAAGAGTGACGTGTAGATATGTGACAAAACATTAACACACGAGGATTTATCAGATATAAAAGCTTATCAATAACATCAAAATTAGCGGCAAAAAACAGATTAATGTGCGTGCGGCATTTATTATGCCGATAGACGTTTCTGTCGTATAACCCTATTAGTGTCAGGGGGGGGGTTGTTTTTATCCACCCCTCAGGTTTTTCGGGAATATCTCCGAAACCGCTGAAGCTACGATGCTGTGATTTTCTGACTTTTCCTAAAACTAAATTGGGCACATTCCCTGAAAATTTCAAGTTCATACCTTTACCAGGGGCGGCTCCAGAGCACTGGGAATTGGGGGGGTCCTATTCGTGAAGCGAGTCATTTGGGGCGAAGATCACGATGCTGATGTATTATAACTGTATACACCAGTTTTACGAACATTGAATGAAAGGTATCATGTGATAACATATACAAAGTTATTGTGCATCCTCTTTTGACACGTTTTTGCTATAATAGGCGGATCCAGGCGTCTAAAAAGGGGGGTTATGTTTTACCTCCCAACATAGGTGCCCTGACACCGCCTATGCATGACCAATACAATTGTAGTCGTTTTCTCATAAGACAATTGTAACATAACAAGACCATTGCCACCCTTTTTAGAAACAGTACCAACAAAAACCTTATTTACTATACTTTTTGTGTACCCCCAATCTCAATTATCTGTATCCGCCTATGATTTTTGAAAATGCATATTTTTAGGATCCATGTGAATTCCTGGTTCATTCTCTATCGATCGGCAAAAGTTGCGTTAAGATTGGTTCAGAAACCTGGCCGTGATAAACAGTCTAAAATGTATCTGCAATTTGCCCGTTTTTACCCCCCTCTACCCCCCTATTGACATTTTTTAATTTTTATTTTTTAGAAATGTAGATCACGTTGAGCGAAATCGAATGCCGTTTGAATTTTGAAAATCGGACCGTTAGATCTCGAGATATCAAGGGGGGGTCGTAAACAGCCCCCCCCCCCCTGCCACTAATAGGGGTAGCCAGGAGCCTGCCACTAATAGGGATAAATATCGTCGATAGAGACATGAACATTCCTTTAGGACGTACTCAGAAGCGAGCGGCGCTGGCCGAATCTCCCCTGCATTGAAAACATACAAAGCATGCTGATGAATTATTCAAGCATCGCAGTTATTTCAAAGCATTCATTTTAATCCAACAACACAGGCTAGCGGTAAAATTACAGCTCCATGTGGTTAAACTATTTACACTTAAAACGATAACACATGCATATTTACAGAAGCCATTCAAGTGAGCGTAGCAGACATCTGAAATGCGTCGTTATCTGTTCTCCATTCATCCGTGTTCGTGTTAACCCGTAAAGCAGGTGTTATTACAGTGTTATTACACATCAGCCAGCCACTTCAAGCCCATGTTCAAGCGGCAGAGGCACTGTGGGCCGGCTACTGATTCAAGGACTGCTGGACCCCGGCAGAGGGAGGTAAAGGGCAGCAGCTCCGGGGACACAGCGCCGCGGTCAGTACCTTGTTGCCGTCCCGCTCCACGTCATACACCCGGTATCCCGGGTTCAGGCTGACGTAGGTGGTAATGCTGGGCGCTATGTACATGACCGACGAGGCGTTCACGGGCCCTGGCTCCGAGCCGTTAGGAGCCGCCACAGGGTACACCAGGCTGTACTCGTCGAAGTGAGTGTGACCGAAGAACTGGGCGGCGATGGTGCCCGAGTACCTGTGGGACGGGTTGCACCACGCCACTGTACAGACCCGGTACGGGGGGGGGGGGCGACCAGGGGACGTGCGGGGTGAGGGGTGGGGTGCGATGTCCGTCACCACAGGTCAGTCACCGAGTGAGTGTTGACTGTCAGGTCGGGTGCTCGCCGCTAGGGTCACGTCACAGACGTAAACGAGTAGTGTGTAGGTCAAGGGTTATTTACATTTTACAGTTACTGTCACCGTACCGTCACCGTCACCGTACCCGTCCACCGTCACAGTCCCCGTCACCATCCCCGTCACCGTCCGTCCATCGGTCGGTCAACAAACCTTGGTGTGGCCCTCGTCTACGTCATACACCCGGTAGCCGGGGTTCAGGTCAAAGAAAGTGGTCACCGAGGGAGCTATGTAGGCCACGTTGTTCGGTTGGTACTGCTGTCGGATGTCGTAGAACAATTGGTACTCGTCGTAATGCGTGTGTCCGAAGAACTGAGCGGCAATTGTGCCAGAGAACCTGCCGGGAAGAGTGAGCTGAGAGCGCGTCTTTGGAGGAGGGGAGGGGACATCGGTCCGCCGTCCCACCCGTCTGTGCTCCCAGTCATGGGCCCATGAGTTGATCCAGTCAAAAGGGTCTGATGACAAGCCAATCTTCTACTACATGTCTCGAGTAACTTTAGTAAACAAAAAGGAACTGCAAAGGTCAGTAGTTACAACGATCTGACGAAAATGCTAAGGAGGAACAGTCTACTGCAGCTCAATGTGTGGACAAAGCACGGGAAACTACAAAAAGTATTCAGCAAGGCCGTATATAGGGTATTCAGCATGTCATAATATCAGCCCACTAAAGTAAAAACATTTATCTAAGTAACTTTGCAAGCGAAATATGGCCCCTCACATCTCTCTCGAGTCCTAGTTTTATATCGACTAAACCAGAGCCAACTCCTGTGGTTACAACCGTCCCACCGCGACATACCTATCGACGATGCGGTAGTAGTTTTTCGACCAGACGGCCAGACAGTCGGTGTGCCCGGGCGGGATGTGGCCCAGGATGTGCACCTTCTCGTCGTTCAGCTCTGCCGACTGCAGCTCGTAAATGAGCCAGCTCAGCTCCTGGGCGGGGTCAGTGGCGTTCAACAGCAACCACCTGTGAAGAACAAGGAGGGACGGGTTAGCAAGCGACACAAAACACCATAGCACGATTTGCTCTGGGCACAAAACATACCTAGCAGAGGACAATGATAAGTGGCAGTGCATCATTTGTTATTGAGCTCACGCCAGCTCCTATCTACTGTATTCCATTTGTCTTCATTTGTCGTTCGCTTTTTAGGCTCATCGTTCATCCCACGCACCAGTTTTTGTTGTTGCAGTAGTTCATGTTGAGCGAGACGATGCGGAACCCGGGTTTGACGAGCACAGAGTAGAAGGCGCCTCGCCGGACGGTGGCCGAAGTCTGTTCGGGCAGCCAGCGACGCCATTCCTTGTCGAGCTCATCGTACAACCAGGAGACCGAGTGGCGACCACCAATCTCCGGGGGAGGAAAACTGGAAACAGAGACACACAACGTGACGTCACACAGAGGCCGAGTGGCGGCCGGCGATCTCCGGGGAGGGAAACTGGAAACAGACACACCGTGTGACGTCATACAGAGACAGAGTGACGTCAAACAGCCAGGAGGCAGAGTGACGGCCGCCGATCACGATATGAGCCGAAATGATTACAAGCAGCATCACTGCAGCCCTGTGCTTTCACTTACAGTACTAAGTTCAATGCCTGCTACCGAGTAATACAATGAGAGATAGCGCAGTGCGATAGTCACCGGCCGAAGCCAGCTGTGGCGCATTGCCACTCCTACTGTAGAGCTCTATCAGACGATCACGAAATGCCGACCTCCCGTGGGTCGGTTACGCTTTCATCGACTACACGCAGCGGGCCGCGTCTGCACAGCCACGTAGGCCATGAACAGATACAGCATCGCTTGCAAGATTATCTATCACTAGGGCTCTTTGCGCACCGCGCTCAGAGATTTACTTCGCAGTCACCAAGCGCACACAACGCAAGCCTCTCCAGCAGAGATGGCACGACTGAAGTTCTGTCCCCAGATCTACCCCTAACACACTCCCACTCTCTCCACCCCTTCCTCCTTCCCCTCCGTGCGCTAACCTGTTGACCGGAGCGGCCTCATGGTTGCCCAGTGCCGGGAAGATGGGGGTCTGCGGGAAATATTTCAGCAGCAGCTGGTGGCTCTGGCGGATGATGTTGATGTTTTCGTGTCGGGTCTGGTTCCAGACATCGTGCGGCGGAAGGTCACCGGTCCAGATAATGTAGTCGAGCGTCTGTGGAGGGAGGGGCGGACGGTCAGGCATGCCAATGCAGCAGACCACACTCACTGGACAGTGGCCGATATACGCTAAATAAGTTAGAAATGAGATGGCGACAATGAAGCCTGACCACGAATCGTGTCATATAATTCCACTGTGAAGCCGCATTATATATCCTCCACCAAGGAATGGGATTTACAGGATGATCAATTCCACCATACTGACAAACAAAACCATCGCTGCCCGTTTTAGAACGGTCTATTACCTGCTGGAAAAACATAATAGGGTTGTTGGGTACTTTCCGTGACCGTTTCTCGGATAATTCAGTAGTGAAAGTGGTCTAACCATGTGAGTGGCTGAAACCAGAGAGTAACGCATAACATGTGAGAGTGAAGCTAAAGAGCAGTGGGTAGGTCTCAGGTTGTAGGGAGGATAAGTTTACGGTGTTGATACACATCTTGAGTCAGATTTACCAAGACAGTATCGAGATCGGTACTTTGAAGACAGCCGTCACAAAAAGATAAGATACGACCGTAAACAAAGTTAGCGTCAAAGTTCAATAGCTTGTGGCCGGCTTACGCGTATAATTAACAAACATCGGTGGCGCGTTAGTGTTTCTCTAGGAGACTTGCTGAGTACGTGCAGTTATAATGATTTCTTGAAAAAAATAAATAATCAGAATGGCAAGGCTTTCACTTGTCTATAAAATCAGACAGCAAAACATTTTTTTTTAAACTAAGCAAAACGATAACCTGTCCTACCGCCCAGTGTATCGCTTTCGCTGTGTACCGCACAGTGTATTTATATAGGTACACTGTGCTACCGCCCGCCAGCCCCCTGGACCGCCAACCGCAGTGTCCACTACCCACCGTCTAGCAGTTAACACCACCCATCCCCCACCGCCCACCGCCCGACACCGCCCGGGACCGCCCACCGCCCGACACCGCCCGACGCCGCTCAGCGTGGCGACCGGCAGACAGCGAAAGTGATTCCCACGAAGAGAAGACGGGATATCCTGGCGCCAGCTACGACCATTCCAAGTGTTCCCACTTTTCTTTTCGAGCGAAAGTTCATCACAGGTGATGGGAGTGGCACGTTTCCCTCTGATCCGATTCGTCCCTTAGTGACTCCGCCTATCGATTAGCAGTTCAGCTCCGAGAAACTAATTCCTTTGGGTGTTATGCGCCACACTATCGACGCCACTCCCATAGTTTGCAGTGCCCCTGGGCTATCGGTGCGTCCTCGTCTCACGGCCTTAAAGAAGGCACGGTGAAAGTTTTCAACGGCCGTCATGAATTGATAATGCATGCCCGTTGCATAGGACATTTCACCAAATAGCTGATCATATGCGCGGCCGTGGCGGTAAGCCAGACGTGACGAGCAGATGAAACCGTCCGGCTTAAGGACCTGTTCACACAGCCATGGCGCGCTTACCGTTCACTAGCATCACGCCATCGTGTATCTGAATCACTTGCCCACCCATTCGCTCATTCAAAGACTTATCTCGTGGGTTCATGTAGCATATTAAAGCATAGGAGTTTAGATTATGGTGATAATAGTTCACTGGTGTGAGAATCGATGTCCCCGAGTCGTGAAAGGACTCGAGGCTTAGAAAGCTCGATGAGGATTCGAGGAGAAGCCCGGGCCAGTCTGCTAGGGCCCGACAAGACTCAGGGAGAATCGGAGCGGCTCTGGAAGGGTTCGACTGTCAGTGTCAGTCAGTCCGCGAGGTTCAGCGACTCTCTGACGATTCTCACCGGTCCGTGAACGTCAGCGATCTGCTGCAGCATGTTCTCGATGGTTCTGAGCGGCGTGTCGCAGCGCCGGTAGTCGCCCCAGAAGCCGGCCGCCGCCCGCTTCCGCTTCGGGTAGCCGCTGGTCTCCCTGTTGAACGGAGGGGCATCAGAGGTCGGTTAGGGTCAGTGAGGGTCTCGTAAGACGCATGGTTCCATGGTTCATGGGTATTCTGAGTTCAGTCATACAAATGTGGCATTGGTGGGCTCGAGCTTGACAGAAGTCAGCTCAGGTGAGGCGATACCAAGTCCGTGTGGTAAGAAAACAATCGACCAGTCAGGAGTCAGCGGCGAGTCAAACGGGTTTCACGAGGCAACTATTTCCCACCAGTCCCATATATTCTCTGAGTGGGCTCAGACGGTGCTGTCTGGGTAACCAGCAATGAGGGCGATCCGATTGTTTAGCGGTGCGTGCGGCGGCGGCGCGCTACCGACCCACGCCGCTGTTAGCGGAGCGCCGCCAGAGTCAACATAAAGTTCTTGAAAAAGGCACACTGTATTTTCACCGCTTGTGAGCACTCGGACACGAAAACCGCACGACCGTCACGCTCCGGCTCCGTCCCCGAATGCCCGCCCTCCCGCCGGCCGCCGCAGTCAGCGGTCAGCCGGTGCCCCGCGGCGGTAACCTCCGCAGGGGCGAGGTCAGGCTCCGGCGGAGGGCAGGGCGCCCGCAGGGGCGAGGTCAGGTCAGCCCCGACTCGACTCGGACACCGCAGCGACGCGGTGTAACATAAACGCACATACGGGTACACTGCCCCCCTCTACACCAAGTCGCGCGGACAAACAAAACAACCAACAAAACTGGCGCGCGTGTCATATCATCTTGCGGAACTCGCCAAACCACACAAATCGCAACGAGAAGCGCAACAAAAGAAACACTTTTCACCCGCCATCACAGTCAATGTACGGCATCATCAACAGAGCAACTTCACCCGTAGTAAAGAGAAACATTCAGACAAAGCTTCCATGTATGTATAACAACAGCAGCCGGGGCGGTCATCGGAACTAAGGGTTTTACGAACTTTACGAAGTTGGAGATGCCGAAGGACATGTTTCGTCGGAACCCCCATCGCCAAGTGCCGCCGCCCGCCGTCCACGGTCACGCACGCGCCTCGACCGTCGGAAGAATGGGCTACTCTGCAATGGCCCCCTGCTCGCTCCATCTTCGTTCATCTCAAAACGCACCCGCTGACTTCTTCGCGATGAGGCGGGATCTCGAAGGCAGCTGCGTCGCAGAGTGGCAGACTGCGTCCGATCGTGATGCTGAAGCATCGGCCGAGTAGCTGCACGAACAAGACGTTGTCCAGTCGGAGCCTCACCGACTCCAGTTGGAGTCAGAACTCCAGCACGAATTATCTGTGACGGATCCGGCTGGGAGCCCGACGCCACCGCTGGTCCTGCGGCAGTGATGACATCCTTCGAGGTACGGCGATGTAGCAGTTGCTTGAGGTAAGCCGGTGCATCATAGTAAGTACGGAGCTGTGAGTGATGAGCCCTCCGTTCAACACCATCATCCGTCTTCACGAGGTAAGTAACACCACTTTCAGCCACTTCAGATACAGTCAGTGGACCAATATAACGTGCTTCGAACTTGTTTTCGAGGCGATGTCCAGGTAGCTGGACCGTCTTTTTCACACGGTCTCCGATTCGGAATGGCTTAAACTTCGGATGGCCTGCCTTCCACACATCCTGCCCTTCATCAGAGGCGACACGCGACTCTGTGTCCGCATTTCTCGCATCAAGTAGGAGGGCCGCAGGTGACGTACCGATTTCTGCATGCTTGGTGTTGTTGTACGTTGTCATAGCCTTGGCGAGGTGCAGGTCCCAGTCACCAGCGGAGTCCGTCAGTAAGCGAAGTGACTGACCAATCGTCCTGTTGCAACGCTCCACTGCACCGTTACCCTCGGGATGGTAAGGCGTGCTGTACGCGTGCTGAATCTTCCAGTCGCTCAGGACGGATTCAAATTCCATGCCACGAAACTCCGGACCATTATCAGACAGCACCCGCTGAGGAACCTTCAGAAGAGCTGGCAGAACACGATGATGAAACGCACGTGCCACCGCTGCTGCTGATTTGGATCGCAAAGGCACTGCCACTGCCCACTTGGAACAGTGGTCCACCGCCACCAGACATCCCAGGTGACCTCTTCCTGAGCGAGGGAACATGACGACATCGACTGCCACCAACTCAAATGGCGACTGACACTCTATCTTCTTCACGGGAGGTGGGTGTAATTGAGGCGATGGTTTGTAAAGCTGACAGCGCTGGCAGGTCCGTACAATGTCTGAGATCACCAACTGAAGTCCAGGCGCGAAGAGCCGTTGACCAAAAAGATCGAGCAGCTTATCTCTTCCGATGTGTGCCATATCTTCATGCGCGTGAAACACCAACTCGACCAGCCATGACCGCGAGATAACCGGCAATGGACCATTGTCCGGGTGGTCGAAGACAAGTAAATCATCCCTCAGCTGCAAATGATCCATGTGCTTCTTGAAACATTTCAGGCTCTCAGGCAGACGACCAGGCGGGGTTGTCTGTTCGACATGCGTCTTCAACTCCTTCAGCTGGTCACTGGAGGCCTGATGCTCCCGAATAGACGATGTAGTAGGGACTCCCATGTCAACAGTGTAGCTGACAGCGGCAGCCCTCTGAGCGTCAGGATCGGCGAACATGCTTACTTCACTCCCACCCAGTCGAATTTGAAGACTCGCGAAATCTAGGCAGATGCCGACAGTCCGAATGAAGTCAGCACCGAGGAGTAGACAATGGCCGAAGGAATCGGCCTCGTCAACGAGGAGAACCATGGCCACTGGAGCATGTGACGGCATACCGACTTGTGCGTGGATGAGCCTCTCGCACCGTGCTTGCCCACACAGGCCTATGATGGGTATGCTAACTCTCTGGATGGCGATGCCAGGATCATGAGATGAAATGAGCCGCAATGCACTGGCACTTATCATGCCGATGGCCGCACCGGTATCCAGTAATCCACACAGCGGCACCCCATTGCAGAACGCTGTGATGGTACACTGAGTGTGCTGGTCATGGTCGCAGCTTGGCTTCAACTTCTTGCAGGACGAGTTGGAGGACGTCGTGTCATCAACCTGAGATGCCGTGACTGGTGTCTCCTCCACACTCCTTGCAGAGACTCGACAACTCGCAACGCTCGCAGCGGTCAGTTGCGTTTTGTCGGTCTCCAGGTACGACTGAAGGAGATTGAAGTGAATGCCCCCAAGGCATTGTAGGTGCAGGATATCATTCGCTGAACGACAGTCATCAGTGAAGGTCATCGGGTTAGTTGGGCCAAAATGAACGACAATTTTTACTTTGTACATGGCTGCTGCCACGGTGAGCATATCCATCGCCAGAGGTTGTCCTGAAAACCGCATCAGCCTCAGAGACTGTCGAGATAACCGATCGAGCCGGAAGCCATACTTAGCGGGGCTCCGAAGGGCCTCATCTACCAGCCTCCGGCGAATGTCCCCACCGTCTGCAGGGAACCCATCTCTCTCAGTCATCCAGTGTCGAAGACAATCCACCAGAGAGTTTCCACCGCCTTCAGGACGGTACCGAAGACGAAGACCGTCTGGCAGTTCTTCGTTCTGGTAGGTCCCAGCGGCTGTTGCTGAGGACACTTGCATCCGTGACAGGAGATCTGCGGCGAAGTTTGATTGTCCAGGGACGTAGATAATTTCGTAGTTGTAATCAGCAAGTTCTTCCACGGTGCGGGCAAGACGATGGTTGACGAGCCGCATGTTGTGGAGGTACATCAGTGCCTGGTGGTCAGTGTAGATTTTAAAATGAACAGCACACAAGAATGAGTGGAATGTCTTGACTCCCCAGCGAAGAGCAGCAAGCTCACGACCAGTTACTGAGTAGTTCTTTTGCGCGCTGGTGAAGGTCATCGAGGCAAAAGCAATGAATCTGGGCTGTCCGTCCTGCTCTTGAGTTAAGCACGCTCCAGCACCGATAGCAGAGGCATCCACCCACAGACAGAGAGGACTTGCATCAGGTCTGTAATCGGGGAACGCGAGTGTTATATCAGCTTGCATGTCGGACTTCAGCTGTTCGAATGACTCAATCATCTCATCAGTCCAGGTCAGAACAGTCTTTGCAGGTAAGCCTGTCAGTGCAGACAGAGGTTTGGCGATTGTAGAGCAGTCCTTTACGAACTTCCGCTGGTAATTCACTATTCCCAAGAACTGTCGCAGCTGGTGAACCGTTCGCGGTTTATCCAGTCGCTGGATCTGGTCCACGTACTCCGGTGACTTCCGAAGACCCGATGAACTAATGATGTGTCCCAAGAACTTCACTTCTGGTTGAAACCAAGTACACTTGCGTCCGTTCAGCTTGATTCCCTGGGATCCGAGCGCCGTAAGAACGTCGTCGACCAGCTGCACATGCTTTTCAAACGTAGTCTCCTTCAGAAGAATATCATCTAGATATACGACAAGCTTCTCACGTGCAAATCCGTGAAGAATCGTCTGCATTTCCTTTTGAAATTGTGCTGGGGCATTCTTTAATCCAAAAGGAAGGCGTCGAAACCTCCAATGGGCCCTGGGTGTGCTGAATGCAGTGTAGTCACGTGACTCTTCCTCCAGAGGGAGGTGATAATATGCCTTGGAGATGTCCAGTGCACTGAACCACTGCACTCCGTGATGAGTCCCAAAAACAGTATCGTTGACCTCTGGCATGGGAAATCTGGTTGTTACAGTCTTCTGGTTTAGCCGGCGATAGTCAATGCACAGTCGCAATGTGCCATCCTTTTTTCGGATTGGGACGATGGGAGCATTCCAAGAAGATTCACATCGCTCAATGATGCCGAGACGCTCCAAGTCTAGACACTGACGCTCGACTTCGTCCGCAACTGGGGCAGACATCTTCCGTGGTCTGATGTAAATGGGCGTATCATCAGTCAACTCAATACGATGTGGTGTCATCAACGACTGGAGCGCATCCGCATCCGAGCGCATGAACACTGTTGAGTGACGTTCGAAGATCTCCTGTACCGCCGCTCGCTGATCTTCAGAGAGACCCGGTATGTCGGAGGCCGAGGGACAGGAACCATCGGGCTCGATCCCGTCTGTGGA